ATCTTCCTATCTTAGAAATTATCTAATCACATCCGTTCATCATGTATTGTACGGTCAGTTTTCATCAGGTACTGTTTATATTTAATTTTAAATAAAAAAATTTATAATGATTTTTGATCGCACGATATACAATGAACGGATATGATTGAAGGATCTAAAAAATCCTCACAAAGAGGATCCATAGAGGATCCTCATTCAATTTATAGCACAAGACATGTAGGTACGAAAGAGGCAATCGTATTGCTTGTTTGAGATGCTCGTCTAAGAACTAAAAACTAATCTTTAGTAAAAGTTTAAGTGGATTTTGAAAGCAGTTAAACAAATATTTGATGTCTTTTTTAAAAAGCATTCAAAAACAATTTCATTAAAAGCGTTTCAGTTATTTTTAAAGCACCTTCAAACAAGTTTTTATGTTCATAATTATTGGCCCCATTTAAAACTATTTATGCTCATAATCGCTTTTCCTATAAGATCTATTATTAGGACGTAATGTTTATGTCCTCTTACCTATTTTATTTTCTCACCCACTAAATAACTAAAAAATAGGTGACAAATCAATATAATATAAGGAAAATTAATGAAAAAGAGCTTGAAAACTTTGAGTTTTAATCAAAATGACAAGAATGTGTTATAAGTGAATAGTACCAGTAGTGACTTTGTAGAGTTAAAATATATTTTTTTTATTAAAATGAACAGTACCGGGAGCGTTTTGTTAAAACTTTTTATAGGCCAGTAAATAGTGGGTTAGCTAGACGGTTGGGGTCTTCCTTGTCAACCCTCTCTCGCGAATCATTTCCCTCATTGTGGATCGTAAATTAGTATAGCATATTAGTTGTAACAATAAAATAATAACATGGGTGAGAAAATACAATGGGTGAATGGGCCTGGTTTCACTCGTTTTTTTTTAGAAATCGAAGATGCACTTGGAAGTAACTTGCTTATCCAAAAAGCACTTTTTAAGTTTTTCAAACCAAACACCGTCAAAAGAGCTTTTGATTCTTTGTAAAGCAATTTTGGCAAAATTCCGAAAGCAATCCCAGACTTAACAAGAATCCAATTGCAGAAAATGTAATTTTCGAAATAAGTTATTCATTGGTAAATTACAAGCTAGAACCAAATCCATTCAGACATAGATTCTTCTAATGTAGAACCAAATCATGAACCAAAAGGTGAATCGAAGTCGACAACTACGGATTCTAGATGTATAATTAGCCCGGTTCACATACGAAAACACAAAATGCGCCTAATACGAGATCAAAGAACCCGGAGCAACAATTCTACCATGTTATGGATGCCAAGGCCAGATCCTGTCATCGGGCCTCAAGTCAAATTTCTGTCGTCGAATCTCAAGATGGCAGGTTTACAATTATACTGGTTGCTGAACGTTATTGCCGCCTTGTTGAACTCGTGACTCGAAAAAGAGTCTTACAGTGGAATAAATCAAAGAAGGTTCGGCCATTGCTCCATTCCCGTAATCTCCACAAGCCAGCCTCTTTGTGACTGGTGGGATGAGTGAAACTCCAAGTTCATCAATCAACATGATATGTCGCTCTGTGAAGGGGTTCTTCCACATCAAGGTATTCATGGCTGGTGCGACAAAGAAAGGTTTGCTGTAGTCCCATGCTCGTACGATGCAGGTCAGTAGATTGTCACACAATCCCCCAGCAATCTACAAGAAGAACATGGGGCATTAGTTCCATCTCTCATTCTTCCCACGAAACACATACAGAAGGGATAAAAAATAAAATTGAAAGTTTCACAGATGATAATAGTTTGAGTAACATGCTGATAAGACTTGCAGTTTCTAGTAAAACAAATTCTCAACTATCTCATCTCGTAGCAAAAACAACTTCATAAATTCACAAGACTTCCAGACTGTGAATATTACCTTGCCTAGTGTGTTTGCAGACAATGGGGCGATAACCAAGATATCCGCCCAACGGCGGAGCTCAATGTGAAGCACACTATCACCCATTTTGTTCCAAGTAGACCATTCATCCTCGTCGGTGTACAGGATTACATCCTTGGGAAGTGATGCTCTATCAATGAAATGCAAAGATGCTCTTGTGGCAACTGCTTTTACTTCTGCCCATTCCGAAAAACTATGGCAAAGGTTGCCAAACTTTATGGCAGCTACACTTCCACTAGCAGCAAGTAGAATCCGAGGCCTCCTTGGGGCAGGATTGGCTTGTGGCTCAATCTCTGGACTCACAGGTTCGGAGCTTGACATACCCTATTCAAATGATATCAACATGTTCATAAACATCCTTGATTCCCGAAGAATCAAAACAATTTAAAACAAAAGAAATATCAGGCTTTGCATAAAATCTTCAACCTAATATTTGGAAAGTGCCTACATAATGCCTCAATTTATTCAAAAAAGAAAAGAAGTGACAAATCCGCAATGAATTTGAACCCCTGATCCCCATGCCCAAAACACCAAAGGGAAAAGGGAGCCATTACAGAACTGATGATCTAGGTAACACACAAATTGTTCATCAAACTTTGCTCACTGCACCACAAAAACTCGATCAAGAAAAACATATCCACTTATATTCTATACATGATCATTCATCCCGTTTGAGTACATAGTGGACCAATTCAAGCTAACACTAAAAAAGATTCAAAATTTCAAGCTAACACTAAAAAGAATTAAATTCCAATCTACAAACGACAGCTTTTTACTTTTCCCAATAGAAGATACAATTCAATGAGAAAAAGAGGGGAAATTTTATCTATACGAGAACAGCAATTTTCCTCTATGATCATTAAACCTAAATACAAAGCATCCGAGAAGAACCCGCATATGTTACATTACACCACCGCAAAGTGAACTCAGATTGAACGAATAAAAATGGGTTCCTTCCAAACAAATCCCATATAACCAATACAAGAAATCTACTGAAATCGATAGTTCAATAATTCCAGAACATGACAATCAACATATATGAACATTTTCAAAAAGAAACTTGTGAGACAATCGTAAGATGTCAATAGAAGAATTAAAGCTCCCAAACAAAACGAACATACCCAAAAGCATCCTCCGGACTGACGAAGGTGATCATTCATGATCCCGATGATCTTGAACAATCACAAAAAAAAATAATAAAAATGGAATTTTCTCGCAGCAGGGAAAGCCTCTGAAGAAAATTAATTATAACTTTACTTTCTTTCTCAGAGACATAAAACCAAACACCTTTGCTGCATTCATAAAAGAATGCTCTCTCCCTTTTCCCGCTCAATCCCAATAACAAACTAACAGAAAACTAACAGTTGCAAACCCACACTCCTAAAAAGATTCTAAATTTCGAAACAATGTGTGAAGGGCTCGTAGCTCAGTAAGTTAAGAGCATTCTCCGTTGCACCCGAGGTTCGATTCCCCACAATATGATGAAAAATACAGCTACAAAAGGAATATATTTTCCCTAATTGTATACTCAGACGAACAGATTAAGCAATAGACAAAATTAGCATCAATAAAAGAGTAATTGGAATCTAATCGCATGTGATTTAGTACTAAAACGAAATAGAATTCCGTCAATTGAGTGAGAAATTGTTACTGACTTGGAATGGTGAGTTCCCTCTGCGTGTGGTTTGAGGCGATTTAGGGTTTTTGAGCTGAAATCTCAGCGAGGCGGGTGGGTTCAGAGACCGAAACGCAGCGTATTGGACTTTGAGTGAGGCGAACCGGTCTCGGAGTGCCTCTCTCTCCAGAGGGGTTCCGAAGTCCGAAACGATGATGTGTGTTTTATGTTCTTTTACTTTTCGTTTAAGTATTTTCATCCTTATTGGGCGGGCACGTGTACCCGATATTGTAAAGTGTAAACACGTGTTTCGATACTATTGGTTCGATTCTATAAAATGGTTGGTTTGGTATTACCGTGCTTTGAAAAGAAACTGCTTCTTTGTGTTGTGAGAATAAACTCAATTTTGCTGTTTCATATTTTTAGTTTTTTTTTTATTTAAAACTATAAAAATAAACTATTTTTAAGTATTTATTAAAAATCTTTTTGAGCTTTAACTATTTTTATACCTATTTTTTATAAAATCGTTTTGGCACCATTTACCCGCTTTATTTCCTTCGTGTTTAAGTTTAAATCTCAAAGGGCAATTGCGTAATTTCGACACCATCTTCCTCGCATTTCCACTTTCTCTCTTCGCTCGCACTTCCCTGGTCGTATACATGAATTTCCCTCGTTAATTTAAACCTCTCACAGCTCTCGCTGAGTCGGACCATTCAACTCAGACCGAGTCAATGCCTTGATGGCTAGTGTTTGCGACAATTGGGAGCGGCTGGTGCGAGCCACGGTGAAGAGGGAGCAGCTCAAAAGCTCCGGCCAGTGCGCGGTCCTGCTGTCGCTGGGGAAGACCACCACAAGCTTCGGCCAGGGTTCGGTCCCGTCCTCGCTGGGGAAGACCACCACAACCACCACCAGTGTCAATGCGATCTTGCAAGCTGCCGATGCGATTCAAGATGAGGACCCCAACGAATCAAGAATTTGTCAGGACTTTTCATGATCTTCTTTTTCTTGACTTTTTCAAATTAATGCTTCTTTTTTTCAGCGATCAATTCAGTTTTCCTGTTGGAGATAGAATCCCACGTCGAAAATAAATATACCAAAATAATATATTGTATACGAGAGACTCCGCTCCTGACATTTTCTGATAAAACCCCACCTATTGGTGATGTTCGAGGTGAGCCATGCTATCGAACTTGAAATTCGTTTACTATCGAAGTTGTTTTTGGACTTTTTTTTTCCCCTCAGCTGGAATATGATGCTTGTTTCGATGTTAGTGTGCGAGCAGGCGCATAGTATGGCGCAAAATCTGGACCCGAAAAGTGATGGCATCGGTGTTCTGCAGTTTAAGGTTCGACTGATGACTGTAATCAAGGTATCACTTAAGGCTGGATTGATGGCATAGGTGTTCTTTTATTTCTTTTCCTTTTTATGGTTAAAATTGTAAGATATGAGTATCTGGAACTTCGTTTCAGCAAAGACTTGCGAAAAAACATGGGGGTCAAATAGATCAGCGTCGTGATATTGAGCACCTATGCGAATTTTACCAGCGCTACACGCGACTACATCGAGTTGGTGATATCCAGATACAGGAACCAACATGGCGGGAATCTGGAACTTTTAGTGCTGACTTTGGCAAGTATGGCCACCGTTATTTACTTGACTAGAATACATGTTTTTCTAACGTAAAACATTGTTGGTTTTCTGTCCAAATTTTTGTGTGTTATGATCTACATTGATGAGGTGCGATGCATACTTACGGAGATTGGAAAACGTATGTTGAAATTAATGAATGTGAATCACTTTGGTAAAATGTATCATGTCTTTTGTTTGATGAACAAGAATCTCATATAATATGTTATTTATTACTCCTTTTGTTGTTTCGTATTGGAGCTCAGTTGTTTAGAAATTAAAGAGACAATGGCTACCTGGAGGACTTTAGTTGAGGTGATGAAGGCTCTTAGCAAAGATGCCGATCCTAATGGAGTCGGAAAACTTATTACAGAGGAGGTATTTGTCCTCAAATTTCATCTTATATTGACTTATTCGAGTTGATTTTGGGTGATCAAGAGTAACGATGAAAAAATCAATCGCTCACGAATTTCTGCCCCCCAACTATTTTCAGCATTGTTGTTTTAACTTCAGTGTGTGTGATTGACTTTTTTCAATTATCTGTCGGTTTCCAGTTGCGAAGAGTTGAAAACACCGATGCAACATTATCTGGGGAGCTAACAGCCTACAAAGATGTCCTTCTAGAAGCACCACCATTAATCAACGCAATTGGAGCTTTCCCAGAAGTAGGTTTCATCTGAATTATATTTGTCTCGCCATCTGTTCTTCATTCCCTTCAAGAGTTCTGTTACTTTCACTCTGTATCTTATCTGCCATACCATTGACGTTACTCGTGACGAAATCTTTTGAATGTTTGGTTAATCTCCCCAGGTTAGAATAGCAATATCTGCACTTAGGTATACCAATCAATTCCCCAGTCTTCCGGCTGATTTTGGAGACATCCGGACAACGAGATGCGGACATGTTTGATCTTCTGGAATTTGTGTTTGGTTTTCAGGTTTGAGTTTCCCTATATTTTCCCTAAGCGTAATATATCCGATATTAAATGTGGTATGGTAAATATGACACTGCCTATACCGTCAGTTTCAATTGTTGTTCTTATGGATTTTAAACGTGGTACTGGTTAATTTTTTCAGAAAGACAATGTGAGGAACCAGAGAGTGAATGTTGTTCTTACATTTGCAAATGCACAATCTCGGCTTGGTAAACCTATTAAGGTCAGATCCAGTGAGTACTTCGGTTCGTTTAACTCACTATCTTTCGTGTGCTCATGTCATGTCATGTGACTGAAGTTTTTGTGTAAGTTCATTGCTGCATTTACGTCCTATCTCCAGTGAGTGCTTCGGTTCGTTTAACTCACTATCTTTCGTGTGCTCATGTCATGTCATGTGACTGAAGTTTTTGTGTAAATTCATTGCTGCATTTACGTCCTATCAGCTTCATCTATATGGCTTGTGAAGCAAGTAGTTCCAATAATTAAATTTGAAGCATTTGTTCAGTTCCTGAACGACGTGCTTGTGTTGATATTTGTAAAATTTAAGTCGTGATTTCAAGAAATTTGATAAAAAATATATTTGAAAGAAAGAAGCTTAGGTCACTACATTTGGTTGCTACTTGTTTCAAATAATCGAAACAAACCTTGTTGTAAGCGAGGGAAAGACTGTGTACGTGCACAGGGCCGGCCCAGGCCCAGTGCAACCAGGGCCATTGTCCAGGGCCCAAAATTTAAAGGGGCACCAAAAAAAAAAAGTCCAAATAATTAGGTATAAAAAAAAAATTATCCAGAGCCCAAAATAAGGAATGGAGGGCAAAAGGCCCAAATTTGACAATAAAGGAAAGGGCCCAAGTTTCAGGATTTAAATATATATATATATATATATATATAATTGAACCGGCCAGGTTTTAGCCTTTAAAAAAAAAAAAAAAAAAAAAAACAATAATGTAAAGGGACCTCCCCGGTTCCCCCCACTCCCACCTAACCCTAATTCCCCTTTTCCCAATTCCCCCCCCCCCCCCCCAATTTGTTTCCCCTGTGCCGTTTGTTATTTTCCCCCACTACCATCTGCACTGCTTATTCCAGCCTTCCAACCCCGACACACAGACACATGCCCACCACATGTCTTTGTCTTTCTCAGCCACAATCCCTGCTGCCGGTTACCATTGTGCATTCACCAACCCGAGTAACTTTTGAGGTAATTTGATAAACTAATTTTTAAAATTTGAATTATTAATTCATAATTTAAATTAAATTTTGCAAGTGACATAGAATTATATGATAATTGATGTATAAAATTGTTGTTGTTGATGGATTGAATTCTTGATTAATTGATGTATAGATGTTAGTGTTTTTATAATATATAATATGTGTTGGACTTGGAATGATAATTTTAATAGGAAATTTTTGTTATATCATGTGTAGGTAATTTTTGCAAACAAATTATCAAAACCATGTCTTTTAGGAAACAACTCTCTGGTAATATGAAAAGGAAAAAAAAGGCAAAGGATAACGAAATTGCCGAAAGTTTAAGAGGATCTCTTAATAAAATTTTTTTTACAAAGAATGAGTTGGTTGAAAATTTGAGAGAAAATGATGTTGGTGAAGAGTCACAAAATGTTGTTAGGGAGTCTCATGATCATGAAATTGGTGGTTATGTGGAGGAAGATGTTAATGACCAAGAAAATAGTGGTGATTTAGAGGAAAATGTTGGTGATGAGTCTCAAGATCATGAAAATGGTGGTGATGTGGATTTAAATGTTGATTATGATCATATTGGTGTAGATGAAAATATTGAATCTCCTGAACCTATTTTCCATTTAAACATTTATGATCCAAAAGTTTGGGATAGCCTTAATGCAGAAATGAAAGACTTACTTATAGAAAAGGGACCAATTCGAGAAACTAATTTCACGTATCCTAAGGACAAACTCTCTAGAAAATTTTCATCACACTACTATGGTCGAAAATTACGAACGGGTGAAATTTATGATAGGAAATGGCTTGTGTACTCAAAAGAGTTGGATAACGTCTTTTGCTTTTGTTGTAAATTGTTTAAAACAATTGCCTCAAAAAGTGAGTTAGCAAAAGATGGAATTAGTGATTGGAGACATCTTGGTGAGAAGATTGACCAACATGAAAAGAGTAAAGAGCATCTCGTTAATTCGAGAACTTGGGTTGAGTTGAAAAGTAGATTGACAAAAAATCAGACAATTGACAAAGAATTTCAAATGCGAATCAAGAAACAGACAAATCATTGGAAACAAGTGATGCTTAGAATTATTGCTGTTGTGAAATGTCTTGCCATACATAATTTAGCATTTCGTGAAACAAATGAAAGACCTTATGAAGACTCTAATGGCAACTTCTTAGGTTTACTTGAAATGATTGCAGAGTTTGATCCAATAATGCAAGAGCATTTTCGACTCATTGAGAATAAAGAGATTCATCATCACTATTTGAGCCATAAAATTCAAAATGAGTTGATAGCTACTTTAGCTTCAAAAGTCAAAACCGCAATCATTAAAAAAATCAAAGAAGCCAAATTTTTTTCTGTCATTCTTGATTGTACTCCTGATGCAAGTCATGTGGAACAGATGACTTTAATTTTGAGATGTGTTGACTTGTCAAGTAGGTCAATAAATATAAGGGAGTATTTCATGGAGTTTTTAAGTGTAGAAGATACATCAGGATTAGGACTTTTTAATGAGTTGCAAGATGTCCTAAAGTCTCTTGATCTTGATATTGATAATGTGAGAGGACAAGGTTATGATAATGGATCTAACATGAGAGGGAAACACCAAGGTGTCCAGAAAAGATTGCTAGACATAAATCCCAGAGCTTTTTACATGCCATGTGGTTCTCATTGTCTTAATTTAATAGTTTGTGATATGGCAAGTTCATGTCTTAAAGCAAAATCTTTTTTTGGAGCGTGTCAATGCATATATACAGTGTTTTCCAACTCTACAAAGCGTTGGAATATTTTTCTTGAACATATTGATGGTTTAACTTTGAAGTCATTATCAACTACTCGATGGGAAAGTCACATTGAAAGTGTTAAAGCGATTAAGTCCCAAGTAGCCCAGGTTAGAAATGCTTTGTTTCAATTTGTGGAAATTACTGAAAATCCCCAATTAAGTAGGGATGCAGAATGTTTAGCATCAGGAGAACTTTCAAGTTTTGATTTTGTATTAAGTTTGGTTATTTGGTATGACATTTTGTTGAAGATTAACATGGTGAGTACAAAATTACAATATGAAGACATGCGTCTTGATGTTGCTGTAAAGGCATTGGAAGCACTTGTTACGTTTTTTGAAAACTATAGAGAAACTGGTTTTGCTTCTGCCATGAGTGATGCTAAAGAAATTGCACTTGATTCATAAATTGACCATGTTTTTCAAACTAAACGTCATAGACCTAGAAAAAGACATCATGATGAAGTTGATGGTAATGAGAGGGAACAACAGTCTGCTGAAGAATCATTTAGAACAGATTATTTTCTTGTTATAGTGGATATTGCTCTTTCTCAACTGAAACACAGGTTTGAACAGTTAAAGGCTTTTGAATATATTTTTGGCTTCTTGTTTGATGCATCGAAGTTAATTTCATTGGATGATCAAGAGCTAAAACAAAATTGTATGAATCTTGAAGCACATTTGAAACATGGAAATACTATGGATGTAGATGGAGCCGACTTATGTTCCGAATTACAGGTTTTGCAAATGATGTTACCTGAAAAATCATTTCTCTCTAATAACCCTTGGACATCCATGGAAATAGCAAACTTTGTCAAAAAAATTGACATGTGTCCTAATGTCTTGATTGCTTATCGTGTAATGTTGACTTTACCTGTGACCGTGGCATCTGCAGAAATAAGTTTTTCAAAATTGAAATTATTAAAATCTTACTTGCAGACCACTATGACTCAAGATAGGCTAAATGGATTAGCAATCTTATGCATTGAAAAGGATGAGATTGAAGACTTGGAGTATGATGATATAATTGATGATTTTGCTTCAAAAAATACTAGAAGACAATTTCTTAAAGGTTGAAATTTGAAGGAGATTTGCTAGGAGTGGTTGTATATGATTGTACTTTTGATTGTCGGGGTTTAGGTACTATGTCCCCCCCGTTGTATATTTTCTCAGGTAATATAATTTGGGCGTGAGGGCCTAGCCCCCCAGCTTCGACTGGGTTCCAGCCCTCGTTAAATAATTTTTTTAACATATGTTTTTGTATTAAAAAGGGCACATTTTGAACTTTCGCACTGGGCACCCAAAAACTCAGGACCGGCCTGTACGTGCACCTAATCCTACCCAGTGTTTCGTTTGATGATTTATGGGACGTATGGGCATGGAAATAGTCTTCTGGATGTGAATTTTATTGATATATTTACGTTTTTCGTGTGCAGAGAATAGACGAGAAGGCAATGAATGAGGTATTTCTTAAAGTTCTGGATTCTTACATTGAATGGTGCAGCACCTGCGGATAAGCACTTTATGGAACAGGTAATCTCAAATCTAATGCTTTCTTGAATACTTGATTCTTATGTTCATTGTCCCTTAAAAGTTCTTTTGTACACTGCTGATTGCATATATACTTTTTCACAGTTTCGAAGCACTTGGTCGTGACCGGAAACTTAATCTGGTTTCCTTGTACTTTCTGATATGGGGCGAAGCTGCAAATTTCCGCTTTCTTCCCAATTGTGTTTGCTATATATTTCACCTTGTAAGCCTGAAAACGTTATGCAGCTTGCAGATTACTCTTCTCAGTTCATCTAGATAAGATTCACTGATTTGTTTTTGTTTTTATTTTTATTATTGTTTAATTAGTATGTCATGTTTTAATTGTGTTATGGAGGTTGAATTTGCAAACTGCTAATCTCAGTTTCTATACTGTACTACAACTTGATATCTGGAAACATATAGTTTCATCGTTCTTCTCACATTCTTCGAATCTGTCTCCTACTTTAAAAAATTGAATTTTATACTCAGTTTTTCTATGAACTGTATCAAAGTTCAAGTGAAGCATATAGTGTTGGACCTTCTGATGGGAGATGACATCATCTTACGGTTCTACAGATGGCTAGAGAGTTAGATGCCATGTTAGATAATGGAGAAGCTTATCCTGCTGCCAGCTGCAAAACAGAGAGCAGATTAGTGTCGTTCCTTGAGCAAATCGGTCTTCCAATATATGAAGCATTGGATGCGGTCAGTTGATCTCTAATTTCAGATTTCGTAGCTGTATATTCAATGTTTCTCACTTTGTCTTGTTTTGTTGATATTGGAATTCGATCTACTGTTATCGAAATACATAATTGTGCAGCAGTTTATATAAAACAATAGCACTTAAACCCTTTTCACTAAATCTACACTAGACTATGTTTTACCAATTCTATCAGATAGCTTCTCGATAACCTTCGAAAGTTAAGGTTGTTAGAAATAAGGGAAAAAAAAAAACACAACAGTACATAAGATCACAGTTATAAGCATGAATGTATAAAACCATATAGTACTAACCTGAAGCAGCAGACATGATGCTAAGGTTATAGGGTAAGGAAGTTTTCTCCACACACAATCAGAATGTTCTTTACTGATGAATAGGGTAAACAGCACTCCAGAAGAACGCATACTATGTGTGCAGAAACATCCATATTTATATCACTAGGGTTTCCTACTAATCTGCCTATCATCGAATAGTCAGGAATATCTCATAGCTTATGATATCAATTATGTTTCTTAACATGATATATAAGTCTTACCAAATGAGGCCTCCTAATTAGTTGCATGTGATTAAGACTTCAAATCTCATTCATATCAGGACTCCCACATATTTGGCCGAGAATCAACTTGTTACCAAGTTGATTGTCGTGTAAGTCAACGGATGGGATTTCATTGATACTCAGATAATCTTACATTCTCCCACTTGAGTTTCAATGAATTCGATCCTGATACGACTAGAAACGGTGATCACTAAAGTCTTACAAAATTTGCAACAGATACCTCTTAAACAACTTGTCACTCTCATCTCAAATGCTGGACTATAGAAAACTAAGTGAAGTCATTTTTTCACTTGCACTCTATAATCACACACACTTAGACGAAAAGCACTATGTTGCAGACAATACCATGTTTTTAAGTTGATGAGTCTAAATATCAACTTCTTAAAATTTGAATATTACAGAAACTAACAAAATATTCTGTTTATTCAGGAAATGATATGATGACAAAATCTTAAGTTTGGAAATAAACCTTTAACAACGAGTTCGAAATATTCAGAATAAACTTGGAGAGACATTTGAGTAGTTTACTCCCACTCATTCACGGAATCAAAAGTCTCCTTAATCCCCATGTTAAAAACATGTTTCTTGAATACTCCCACTGACAAGGCTTTAGTCATAGGATCTAAAACATAAAATTTGTGAGCTCAACATCTTTATTCCAGATATCTTTAGGGAAGTGACTCTTGTGACTGAAAAACTATACAAAATCATTTGGTCCGTTTTGTTCATCTAACATTTGACAGAAATAGAAAACTTTAACGGAACGTTTTCTGATTGCAACAAAAACATATAATTCCAGAATCATCTTTGGACAGAATCTAATTAAATTAGGTTTTCACAGCTAAAACATAAAATACAAGAGCAAACGTATATAGTTTCAACACTTTTGAGCAGAAGAAGTATATACAATCTTGTCAATTCCATGTTTAACCGTTCATTGATTTATAGTTGGACTGAATAAGAAAACACTTTTGAGCAGATTAATTATCCATCAATAACATATAAATCACAAGTCCAATTTCTTGAACAACAAACAAGAATTAATAAGCAAAACACTTTTGAGCAGAATATACTCATTAACCCTTCTTGAATTTCCTGCAAGATTAGTTGCATATATAAAATATAAACAAGTATGATAATGTATGTTTTATCTACCAAAACTATGACCATTAAAAGCATGCAAAATTGATGAGTGTGAAGCCCATAATACATTATTTCTCCCACTTGGGCAAACACTCAAAATTGCAAGATTAAACACTAGAGACAGTGGTTTTCATATAACAAAATATAGGCTAGTTGAATCAATAAAGATAGTGTAAGCTCTACCAAAATTTCACATTTAAACATAATTTAAATAAAACCAATTTACAATCTTTAATATGATCAAAACACGAAAATTTCTTAAATAAATTAAAGGTTCATTTCATTAGATAAATAACCTTTAATATGCCCAAAACATTAAAATTTCTTAAACAAATTTGTTGAGTCACAAAATAGTTGGTTTGGACAGAATAAACCAATCTATATGTATAAAAAATTAGGCTTATATAAGGAACAATATCTCAACATTATTAATCGATCTAAAAGTGACAAGTGATTAGATAAACAAATGGCTACGAAATTTATTTTAGTGTATGAGAGAAGACTCATATATGTGTTAAAGATTAGGTCATAAATTAAAATGAAACCTAATAAGAGAATCCAAACTCAAAATTTATGTTTTAATTCTAAAACAAAGTAGAATTAAGGTAAACACATAGATATCTCAACAACATCAATTTTTCAACAATAATTTTAATCCAATTTAGAACTCACAGAAAATTAAGGCAAAAGATTGGCAAATTTACCTACTCATTCTCGATTCTGCAAGATTCATCATGGATGTAGTCGAGTTGTGGACGATCGAACTAACTCCAAATTGCATGATTGTTACACCTTTGGGCAGAAACTAATCATGCAAAGAAAATACCTGCATAGCTAGCCAAAACATAAAATACACAAAATACATATAGCTTCAACAGCTTTGCCCAGATGAAAATATGTTAGAAGTACTTTATGATTTGCTATAATACTAATTTATAATTGGTGAGTTATTTCCTAAAAATTCCCATTGGGACAAAAAGTATTCATCATATAAATTAGAATTCTGATTTTTTCAAAATAATCCTTTAGAACAGTATTAAATAACCGTTTTGTTGGATATTCAATGATTCTCAAAAGATTCAATCAGACACAAAATATGTCGTTATTGACATTGAACAATAGAGTTCTCGAAAGAGGAAACATGGTTATTCAGTTATTCGATAAGGACCAAAATGATCAATTAGTAAACTGATGCCACTTTCCAATTTTCTTTCAAAAGACAATTATCATCATAATCAGAATTGATGACCAAACAAAACATTGGTTTAAGCAAAAACAAACCAATACATCTTTAAATCAATAATTTAATCAGTGTTGTCTAATAAAAGTCATTAGTATTAAGAATTCACATTAAATAAAGATATATTGGAATCATAAACTTGTATAATAATCGGTACCAATAGATGTGCACAAATAAGTGAAAACAATATCACATAACAAAACTAGTTTTGAAGTACCAAAATTCAGCAGTACTACTTTAGTTTCCAAATTCACTAAAAAATCACTTCTCTAGATTGTCATGAAAATTTTTAGGTATGCACTAGACATATATGGCTACTATTTTGCAAAATTTCATGATTGTTAAAATTTTATAAGCGAGCCAAAAATGAATTCGAAATGAGATGTGTTGCAGAAACTGCAAAAAAAAATCTGCATGCAGACCTGAGATTAAAAAAATTCACTAAATACTCCTTTTTCATTCAATGTGCATAAAAATTTCCAGACATAAAGCAGACATACAATGCTACTATTTCCTAAAGGTTTATAATTTTTTTTATTTTTTTATTTTTTTTAAAGTTTGCCAAGTATACGAGAGGCAAATTCGAAATGGGATATGCTGCAGAAAGTGCAGAAAATCTGCAGTACAACTGAGATGAAAAATTGACTAAACATTCATTTTCCATCCAATGTATATGAAAATTTCCAGAAGTGAAGTAGATACATAAAGCTGAAATATCACAAAATTTCATAATTTTTGAGATTTTATAAGTGGGCTAAAAATAAAGTCGAAACGGAATGTGCTGCAGAAGCTATAGAAATTCCGAACTACATACCCGAGACTAAAACAAAATTCACCAATAATTCATTTTGCAGCCAATTTTCGTGCAAATATCCAGATTTAAACTAGATATATCGATCTCTATCATACTAAAATTTCATGAATTTAGGAGTTGAATGGGTATACCAAAATAATATCACAAACAGACAATGTTGCAGAAATTTGAAAATTTCAGTAGCATAATCTCCTTTTTAAATTTTACAATGATTTCATGTCATGCCAAAATGACGTGAGAACTTTTAATTATAAAAATCATATACTAACAACATAGCATGATAAAAATTGCATAATAATTCACAATTGACCATGAGTAGTTTTAAAATAACATTTAGCATGTCCATAATGTATCAAAATCTCCCCTTAAGACCAGGTCAATGTCCATCAGCCCCAACACGATTTCAATATCCTGCTTCCACTTTTTATAGTTTGAACCAGTTAGGGTCTCAATGTTGCTGAAATTGAGAGAAGTTATACCTGAAGCTCAAATAAAACTTTATGGTTTATTAATCTTGTCCATCAGAAAACAGAAAACTATAACATGATGTCTTCTGTTTATTGCAGTAATCATACAATTCCAGTGTCATTCTTTAGATTGGCACTGATCATATTAATTTTTGCATAACTAAAATGTAAAACTGCAACTTGTTTATATAGATCAACACTTTTGAGCATAAGAACTATAAAAACCTTGTAGTTTCACATTCCATTATACATTAACTTAGTGCCAGAACTGAATACATTCACAAAAATCCTTTTGGATAAATTTTTAAGGTACTCATCATTGCACATAAGTCACTTGTTCTGTTCGAACCAATATGAAATCTATAAGCAATCACTTTTAAGCAGAAAATACTTGTAGATTTCTTTCAACATGAATAACATAATGCCAATTATTTATCGATTGAAAAGTGACAAATAATGATATTATTATTCAACAGCATTTCTTCAAACAGCAACTGATTGGAGGATTCATTTCATCTTGCTGATGTCGTTAACTATTCCTGATTCAGTGAGCAGTAATCGAAGCACATATAGATCTATCCATCTCATGCAGTTAGGATATTTTTAAATATATACATGCATGCAGCGGAAGCATTATATAGGATCTGATGATTGAAAAATACTCATAACATTTTGTAAACTGAATCTCAAAACTGTTGTGGTGGCTCTGATACCACATGTTAGAAATAAGGGAAAAAAAAACACAACAGTACATAAGATCACAGTTATAAGCATGAATGTATAAAACCATATAGTACTAACCTGAAGCAGCAGACATGATGCTAAGGTTATAGGGTAAGGAAGTTTTCTCCACACACAATCAGAATGTTCTTTACTGATGAATAGGGTAAACAGCACTCCAGAAGAACGCATACTATGTGTGCAGAAACATCCATATTTATATCACTAGGGTTTCCTACTAATCTGCCTATCATCGAATAGTCAGGAATATCCCATAGCTTATGATATCAATTATGTTTCTTAACATGATATATAAGTCTTACCAAATGAGGCCTCCTAATTAGTTGCATGTGATTAAGACTTCAAATCTCATTCATATCAGGACTCCCACATATTTGGCCGAGAATCAACTTGTTACCAAGTGGATTGTCAGTGTAAGTCAACGGATGGGATTTCATTGATACTCAAATAATCTTACAAAGGTGTATTATTTTCAATCTGAATCTAGATCGCACCTCTTTTAACGGCGTTCCAATAGCTTGCCCGAGTTTTGCTTTATTTGTTTATCCTAAGGGCAAATGTTATAGATCACTGTATTCACCTTGGGAGAAAGTCGGATCAGATTGTTCTAGTATGTTGCCATCGGAAGAGGAGGGGGGGGGGGTGGTTTGATACTACATTTCTTTGTTTGTTGGTATGGAGACGATGGTTTCATAGCGGGCATTACTAATACGGTGGATTCTTCCTGATGTTGCTTCTTCCGTTTTTTTTTTCGCAAGCAGAAAGCTGCCAGAAACAATAACAGGAAAGCTGCGCATTCAGCACAGCGGAATTATGGTGACTTTGATGAATACTTTTGGTTTGTTTCTTTGTAGATTATATTTGGGATGACTGATGTGATTCTTTCTGTACCGCAAATGTGACGTTTCTTTTTCAATTTGTAGGTCGCTTGCTTGTTTTGAGTTGAGCTGGCCTATGAGGAGGAATGCACAAATTTTGTTGAAGCCTAAAAAGGGAATATTCGCTAGTTGTATCGGTACTCTGTGGCGGAATTGATACACGCTTTTGTGTGCTCAGTCCTTCTGAATGCTTGCAAGTTTCCGATGGAGCTGGTTATGCGAAGCTTTGGGATAAAATTCAGTATCAGTTAGCCCTTTGGTCCTCGGTTTCAAATGATTTCGCTGGTATATCGCTTTCCTCCCTTTGCTTAGCTTGGAAGGCTGGCATGGGTTATGTTTGTTTCAGGCTGATGTTTTCTGTTTCTTGTTTCGGCTGCGGTGTTTTGGGCTCGTCTGCTTGACCACCCCTCACTTGTTTACTCCTCTTCTTTCTCTTAATAACATCGTCTCCTTAACGTAAACGGCTTTCTTCTCGAGTAATCATAAACGTACTAAGCATACATAAAGCACCTGTATATGTTCACACTAACACAAAGTGAACTCAGGACTTAAAGAACAAAAATGCGTTCTACATGTTTTAGTAGGCATCTGATGGACCGAAGAAAGAAGGCGATCGTTCATACCCGTAGGCATCCGCCGGACTGGTGAATGTGATCGGTCATGATCCCGAATCGCAATGAGGCTATGAAGAAGAAGATCTTGAATGATCACAGCAGACAAATAAACGGAATTTCAAACTTGACTGCAACTTTATTTTCTATCTCTGCGACTTGAAGCCAGACCCCCTTGCTTCATTTCTGCCTTTCCCTTAGCCTCATTAACTAAACGACGTCGTAGTGAGATTGAGTTTGTTGGGCTTTGTTTCAAGGATATTTCAAGGGTAAATTACATTTTTTCCTCTCAGGTTTGTGATCGATTTTAATTTCTTACAATATCTTTAAAACATTTTAATTTCATACATTTATTTATCATTTTATTTTAATTTTATACATCTGTTAAAAAATCTATTAAGTAAACCGTTAAGTAATAACGTGGCAAATATGAGATCCACATGCTGACATGGCTGTCAAATTTGACCCACGTCGCAATAGAAAACCATTTTTATGCATTTAAAATATAATAATATTTACCCTATTATAAAAAATATATATAAAAACACAAAAACCAACCCAGAAAACCCATTCCCCCAACCCACCTCCCTCTCCTCCACTCTCTTCACCCCCACCTTCCACGGCCCCTAACACATAAGAACAGAAGACAATCATTTCTTAGAGCCATCGACGAAAGGCAGACGAATTCCGAGTCGAGCGTGGAATTAGTGAGCACCCAAGATAAAGAATCAGCCGTGGAAGGAGAACTGGCGGCTGGTCAACCTGTTGAGTTGAGCAAGTTGGGGAAGGAGTTCAAGGCATCGATGCCGGAGAAAGAGGGGAACTTTTTTAGCAGAGTGGTGGAGGAAGTTAGGGAGATCGAGTGGCTGGCGTTCGCTAAGGTGGAGTTGGGGGTGGGGTTGGGGAAGGGTTGCGGGAAGGGTGTGAGGAGGGGTTTGCAGGGAAGGTGGGGGTGGGGTGGGTTGTTGGATGGAAGGGGAGGTGATGAGAGTGGAGGAGAGGGAGTTGGGTCGGGGGATGGGTTTCTGGGTTGGTTTGTTTTAAATAGGGTAAATATTATTATATTTTATATGCATAAAAAATGATTTTTTGTAGCCATGTGATACAAATTTGTCAGCCACATTAGCATAAATATTGATCTTATATTTGTCACGTCATCACTAAACCATTTACTTAACAGATTTTCTAACAGATGTATGAAATTGAAATAAAATGATAAGTAAATGTATGAAATTGAAATGTTTTAAAGATATTCTAAGGAATTGAAATCGACCCTAAACCTAAGAGCTAAAATGTAATTTACCCATATTCCAACAACCCCATGCGAGTAAAACTTAAACTTTGAGCTGCATGAATCTCATTTAATTCGAGTAAATTAAAAGTTTTGGGCTTGGAGCCTTGGATGGTTCATCAAAATAAATAAATTTGTGCTCATATTAATAGACACAATGTGTTAAAAGAAAAACTTATTCACGCGAGCAATCTACCAATCACAAAAAGAGTGTTATATTATGAGTTTGTGTTGGAGCAATATTAGAAAATATAAAAATACATGAAAAATAACAATAATTATAAAGAAATTAACAACATCATTATGTACGAGATTAATATAAATAACTAGAGAAAAAGTTAGAAACACTAACAAATGAGGCTTGCATAAATGCAATGTCCTAAAAACATAATTTCGCCCCTACTCTTGTGCTAATTCGGTAGACGTCAGTCTCCCATAATTCAACAATCTATAATCTGAAATCAAAGCACTTCAATCTTTGAATTCTAACGAATTTTATATATTCCGTACTCGAAATTCGAACAAACCAAGAATGAGAGTAATAGAGTGGAGAAACTCTATTTCTCAAGAGTAAAAATTAACTCTAATTTTCTATTTAGTTATTTTTTTTACGATCAGAGTGCTTGAGTATATATAAAACTCAATACACCTTGTGAAATCTTATGTATCTATTGACTTTAAACCATATGACACCTAACACCTATTCAAAACAACCAAATCGTTTTGACTAATTGACGTCTAATAACAACTTTTCATTCAATATTTTAGAAATTATAATAAGGAAAACTAATGAAAATGATCTGAAAATTTTAAGTTTTAATGATAAGGACAAAATAAAGGGTAAAGTAAATAGTACCAGAATTGACTTTTTAGTGTAAAAATGTGGTTTTTTGTTAAAGTGGACAATACAATAAGTTTTTCGTTAAAGTTCTCATTATAATATCATATAATAATATAGTTTCCAACAGTCTGTTCTTCATTTTCATGCAGCTTGTTTATTTTATGACAAATATTTTTTTATCTTCCAGATGACACTTTATTGCAGTGATGGAAATTAACCATGTCTTTACTAATTCAATTTCATCAATTTTCTTCCTCCTAACAATTAACTATCTAACTCACTAAAGCAATCACTCTACCAAAAAATTGTTACTTTTCACCTTATTTTGCCCTTTCCCTTAGCTTCATTAACTAAACGACGTCGTAGTGAGATTGAGTTTGTCGGGCTTTGTTTTAAAGGAAAACTAATTAAAAGGACTTGAAAACTTTGAGTTTTAACGATAAGGACAAAATAAAGGGTAAAGTGAATAGTACCAGGTTTGACTTTTTTGTGTAAAAATATAGTTTTTCGTTAAAGTGAACAGTACCGTGGGCTTTTCGTTAAAACTCCCTTGTTTTAAGGATAGGGGTGTGCTATCCACACACCCCTTTTTACTTCTCCCACACCCCTTATTATTTTCTGTCCATTGATCTTCTTCAATTCATCTGATCCAACGGTCGAAAATTAAAAGGGTGTGAGAGAAGTAAAAAAAGATGTGTGAATATCACATCCCTTAAAGATATTCCCGCAATTCCATGCGACAATAAACTTTGAGCTACTTATCCACGCGAGCAATCTACCAATCACAAAAAGAGTTTTATATTATGAGTTTGTGCTGGAGCAATATTAGAAAATATAAAAATAACACAAATATTTCAATAACAATAATCATAAAGAAATTAACATCATCATCATGTACAAAATTAATATAAATAACTAGAGAGAAAGTTAGAAACACTAACAAATGAGGTTTGCATAAATGCAATATCTTAAAGACATAATTTCGACCATACTCTTGTGCTAGTTCAGTAGGCGTCCGTCTCCTATAATTCAACAATCTATAATCCGAAGTCAAAGCACTTCAATCTTTGAATTCTGACGAATTTTATATATTCCGTGCTCTCAATACACGACTCAAAATTCGAACAAACCAAGAATGATAGTAATTGAGTGGAGAAACTCTATTTTTTAAGAGTAAAAATTAACTCTAATTTTCTATGTAGTTATTTTTTTTTTTACGATTGGAGTGCTTGAGTTTATATAAAACTCAATACACCTTATGAAAACTTATGTATTTATTGACTTTAAACCATATGACACCTAACACCTATTCAAAACAACCAAATCGTTTTGACTAATTGCCGTCTAATAACAACTTTTCATTCAATATTTTAGAAATTATAATAAGAAAAACTAATGAACATGGTTTGAAAACGTTGAGTTTTAACGATAAAGACAAAATAAATGATAAAGTAAATAGTACCATGATTGACTTTTTAGTGTAAAAATGTGATTTTTTTCGTTAAAGTGAACAATACCGAAAGCTTTTCGTTAAAGTTCCCATCATGGCCGGTCATGAGCTTTTGGGTGCCCAGTGCGAAAGCTCAAAATGTGTCCTTTTTTAATATGAAAACATATGTTTAAAAAAAATATTTAACGAGGGCTGGAACCCAGTCGAAGCTGGGAGGCTAGGTCCTCACGCCCAGATTATATTATTTGAGAAAATATACAACGGGGAGGGACATAGTACCTAAACCCCGACAATAAAAAATACAATCATATACAACCATTCCTAGCGAAGCTCCTTGAAATTTCGTTATCCTTTGCCTTTTTTTTACTTTTCATATTATTAGAGAGTTGTTTCCTAAAATACATGGCTTCGATAATTTGTTGCAAAAATTACCTACACATGATATAACAAAAATATCCTATCAAAATTATCATTCCAACACATATTATATATTATAAAAACACTAACACATAGTTTAACATATTATAAAAATTGAACCTAAAAATTGGGTTTGAAATGAAATCAAATAATTCAATTAGTCAAGAATTCAATTCATCAACAACAACAATTCTATACATCAATTATCATATAATTCTACGTCACTTGCAAAATTTTATATGAAATTATGAATTGATAATTCAAAATTTTAAAATTAGTTTACCTCAAAACTCAAAAGGAAGGGTTGGTGGTGAGTGAGTGCTCTTGCACTTGCAGTAGCCAATGGGCTTGGCGCTGAGCTGAGGACAGCCGAACAGGGACCTCCTGTGCTGCAACAGCTTGCTGGTGAAAGGGAGTCAGGGGGTCAGGACGACAGGAAGAAGTTGGGGAAATGGGGAACAAAGGGGAGTGGGGATATAGGAGTTAGGGTTAGTGGGGACCGAGTGGTCCCTTTATAATGTCGTTTTGTTTTTTTTGTTTTTGGTTGATTATAATGCCCAAAACCTGGACCACCGAGTGGTCCTTCTAATGTCATTTTTTTCTTTATTTTTGTAATGCCCAAAACATGGGCCTTTTTTCATCTGGACTTTATTTTTATTTTTTTATACCTAGTTATTTGGGTTATATTTTTTTGGTGCCCCCTTCAGTTTTGGGCCATGGACAGTTGCCCCTGTGCCTGGGCCGGCCTGGTTCCCATTATAATATCATATAATAATATAGTTTCCAACAATTTGTTCTTCATTTTCATGCAGCTTGTTTATTTTATGACAAATAAATTTTTTTGCAGATGA